ATTTTGCATTTGCAAAACTCCTTGCTCAAATCATACGTTTGAGAGCTCAATTTCCGGATTATTCAATTAAGAAAATCCGACTTGATAATGCAGGAGAATTTACATCCCAATCATTTAATGACTATTGCATGTCTATTGGGATTGATGTGGAGCATCCAGTTGCTCATGTGCACACTCAAAATGGTCTTGCTGAGTCTTTAATAAAGCGATTACAATTAATTGCTAGACCATTATTGATGAAATCCAGTTTACTTGCATCTGTTTGGGGACATGCTGTATTGCATGCTGCAAATTTAATTTGGCTAAGGCCTACTGCAAATCATATTTTTTCCCCATTGCAATTGGTAACTGGAAAAGAACCAAATATTTCTCACATAAAAATATTTGGATGTGCCGTATATGTACCAATTGCTCCACCACATCGTACAAAAATGGGTCCTCAAAGAAGGCTGAGAATTTATGTTGGCTTTGATTCTCCCTCAATTATAAAATATCTTGAGCCAATGACTGGTGATTTATTCACAGCTCGGTTTGCTGACTGTCATTTCGATGAGACAGTATTCCCAGCCTTAGGGGGAGAAAATGAGAAAAAGGACCCATGTACGAAAGAGATTACATGGAATGCAACACGATTATCTTTTCTTGATTCAAGAACAAATGCATGCGAACAAGAAGTGCAAAAGATAATTCATTTACAAAATGTTGCAAATCAATTACCTGACGCATTCACAGATTCAAAGAAAGTGACAAAGTCACATATTCCAGCTATGAATGCTCCTGCAAGAATTGAAATTCCTTCAGAGAAAAATGAAAAAACTCTTGCAAATGAGTCTTCAATACGCAAAAAAACGTGGCAGACCACTTGGTTCAAAAGATGTAAAACCAAGAAAACTTAAAAGGCAAGAGACAATACTTGAAACAAAAGACGTTCATTCTTCAAAGAAAGAAAATGAACGAACCGAGCATGTTGATATAAAAAATAATATCAACGAACAATTTGTTTCAAATGAGGATTTAACCATCTCTGAAGATGCGAATAATTCAGATAAAGATAGAAACGTTGATAATTATGAGATTTCAATAAATTACGTTTCTACAAGATTACAATGGAACAGAAAAGATGTTCATGTTGATGATATGTTCGCATATGCCATTGCCACAAACATCATGGATGAAAATGATGACATTGAGCTAACTTCAGTTGATGAATGTCGACGTAGACATGATTGGCCAAAATGGGACGAAGCAATTCAGGCAGAATTAAAATCACTTGAAAAATGGAGTGTTTTTGGGCCTATAGTTCCTACGCCAAAAGGCGTGAAACCAGTTGGTTTCAAATGGGTTTTTGTGCGTAAGCGCAATGAGAAAAATGAAATTGTGAGATATAAAGCCCGACTCGTTGCCCAAGGTTTTTCTCAAATTCCGGGGATAGATTATGAAGAAACTTATTCCCTAGTAGTTGATGCAACTACATTGAGATTTTTGATAGGCATGTCTGTCTTTGAAAAACTTCAAATGCGTTTAATGGATGTAGTGACAGCATATTTATATGGATCTCTCGATACTGACATATATATGAAAGTTCCTGGAGGGCTAAAGATGCCTAAGGTTTATAGTTCAAAACCTCGAGAGATGTTTTCCATAAAATTGGAAAAGTCACTATATGGACTAAAACAATCTGGCAGAATGTGGTATAATCGTCT